CGAAATTGTTAAATATAATATATGTCTACATAAAATAAAGAGTTATTAATTTCTTTAAATATATGACCTTTTTCCTTCTCAATACAGATTTTAAAAATGCTGCATCATTAACATATTTTTGTTATTAAAAATGCGATTATATTTTAATTTATAGTGTGCAATAAAATCGTTTTAGAAATTGAAATCNCGAAATTGTTAAATATAATATATGTCTACATAAAATAAAGAGTTATTAATTTCTTTAAATATATGACCTTTTTCCTTCTCAATACAGATTTTAAAAATGCTGCATCATTAACATATTTTTGTTATTAAAAATGCGATTATATTTTAATTTATAGTGTGCAATAAAATCGTTTTAGAAATTGAAATCCGTTGTATCTAGAGTTTTTAAGTATATACATGTCAGTAAGTCTTAAAAGTAAAATAGTAAATTTATTTAAAAATTAATTAAAAATCTCTACTTCATACTTTAATCAGTTATTATTACATAAAATGCTAATATTCGAAATAATTATATCAAATTTTTATACATTGTGACATTGAAAATATTTTATTAGACGATTATTCGTTGTTCATGCATGCACTAGTTAACATTGATAATCTGATGCGTAGACTATATTCCCTGGTATTTAGAAGTTTGACTATTTATATGAACATCGTCTGCATTCAATACCTGTTCTTTTCGTACAAGAAAATGTGAGTATCAATATATTTTATAAATTGGCGGGTTTTTATACAGGAAGCTACGAAATAGCGCACGCAGCCGGATGTTGCGCGCGCATACCGAATGAGCTAACAAAGGACACTTGACGTATTGTATTTTGACGTATTACAAAATAGACGGTTTATTTATGGAATATTTTGTCAAATCTTTGTATTTCGTTGTGGCACGTCTGTTTACCGAGTGATTACTTTATTGGATTTTATGAAAATTTGATTTACTAAATGATTGTATCAATGCGTAAGTTCGTACGGGTTGGGTGAGGGACGCCATGACAGTCGTGTCGTATTTTCTGTTAACAGCGAGGACGTAGAGCCTTGTCAGTGTTTTCGTGAAATTGTTGCGCAGTTTAGCGTCTACCTGGATCAAAACTGGCACTCCCATTTCCTAAGTTTCGCGGACTTTGGTTTGAATATATTCTGAAGGTGGAGGGCGAGGGCGCGTGGCCATTATCAGGGATTTGCTTGTGGGTACCCGTGACGAGGTGAGACGTCGAGAGGCGGCGAAAGGCGTCCCCCCCTGCATCGGGACGCGTGTCTCCCTGTGTACAAGACGGCCTAGGGCCGACGGAGCGAGATGCCAGAACCGCCGACGGCACCGTACACCACGTGAGTCTATTTTCCGAGTTCTCTCGATTATCATTTCTGCACTCTTGAAACATTTCTTCGAATCTCCTTGCTTCGAATCCCAAGGAACCTCCATTTTGTGGCCTCTTGTTCTCATTCTACGAGTCACGATAATTGACGCGTCATATGCCTAAGAGACACCAGAAGATGGTGCCCGTGAATCCTCTCGAGAGTGCGGGGGGATTTACGGCATCTCTCCTAGCAAATGTGAGAATATAGCTGCGTACTTCCACGAGTTACTGGTACGCCAACAATTTTCTGTTTCGCTCTCTATGTTTCTCGCTTTCAAAAGATTCTATAGGATGACTCACCTTTTCCCGCTCACTTGGCAAAAAAAAACTCTTAAATAATTTCGAGGTTAAAGTAACTTTGATTTTTTTCTTTCCGTAACATGCTGATCTTTTCTTTCCCGATATTAACCTATTATATGAACATTATGTAATAATAAGTTTACACCCGAAAAATTCTTTGAAATTCATTGTACTCAAACAATTGTTTCCTCTTTAATTCTAAATTACATGATTTCGAGGTTAAATAGGAAGATTTATATTACTAGCCAGTTCTGATGGTGCAAAGGGCAATAACTGTTCTATAATTATATATGATATTTTCTTCCGTTTACTAAATATATCGAACTTAATGGTATTGAACATTTTATGAGAAATACAAAACTGTATTTGTAATTATTTTCGATATTATAATTTGCTTAAATGATCTAATTGCCATTAGTTAATAATATTCAATTTTAATTGTTTTATAGGATGGGAAATAAACTATATCAGAGACGTTTAGTTAACATACTACAGTGAACCAAGATGAATAGTGAGCAGCATGCATTGCCAGCGACTACGCAGGCACAACAAGAGGTAAGAATATTTTCAATTGAAACAGGCTATTTACCAAACTACAAATGCGCAATTGATATATGATATTGACACTAAATTTTGAAAACATTGAAGGAAACATAAAGATTACTGTCAATTAAAACATATTTGATTATTTACATAAAATTCTATCCTTTCTAAAATCAATATCTATAAAATTTCTAAAAATATTAAGCACATAATATTTTACATTTAATAGTTTTTGTGAAACTGTATTTTGTTATTTATGCCTATTTTTCATGCATTATTGTAGTATGGTTACATACTCACTTTAGTAATATGAAACAAAATTATCTGTAGTGAAAACTTGTGCACATATTACAGCATTTTTAACGTAACTTTCACTGCTTGTAGCACCTTTTAATAAAGTAGTTTATGCTTGAATGTTTTATATTTATTTGCTTGCCTTATTAGTAATGTAAATTCTAGAAATAAATAGTTCTATATATTGAGCATAATAAATTTTCAAAAGTAGCATAACATTTTTTTCTTTAATGTTTATTATAAAATTTTGAAGAGCCTAAATGATATAATAGTTTAATGTTATGACCCACTGTTAATAGCATTGAGTATTGTATTAGATATATAAATAACTGTATTATTTATTTTCCTTGATAGGCAAATCTTCTATGTAATAAAAAATAACAACGTTAATAGAATTTTAAACCTAATTTGTAACTCTTATGCTTTTGAAAATATAGAAATGAATCTAGCGCATTTGTTGATTGAAAGTGGGCCTGGTGCATGCTATTGCATGCTTTATCAATGTTGTATAAATGTTTGAATGTATATCGGTAGGATGTAAATGCGGGTCAAAGTGGTCGTCCTTCATATCCAGGTGGTTTGGCTACAGCAACTAGTCTTGGCAATGTTGGGAGTACCCCACATTCATCCGCAGACCTGCGTGTAGGTACAGCAGTAGCGTTAGCCTCCTCGGTAGCTAAATATTGGGTCCTCACGAATCTGTTTCCTGGACCGCTACCTCAGGTCTCAGTCTATCATCATTCCCACCACAACTCCTCACACAGGAGTAGTGGAGGTGGAGAGGCATCTTCCAAAGAGCCAGCCTCTTCATTGAACCAAGAAATGGCGTTAACTTCCAGCTCACACCATCAGTCAACACCTACGCATCATCATCATCAACCTACAGTTAGCACTAGCAGTCATCATAGTTCTTTACAACCAAATCCTCAGGTTTGTTTACTTAGAGGTATGCACTCTGCAATGTTTAGTTATTGAGTGTAGCTTATAGAATATCCAGGTTAGAATCTCCTTTAGGAAGAATTGTGGTAACATAGTATCTATATTGTATGCTATATAAGTGTGAGTAGATAGCAAATTTATGTATTGTGATAAACATGTGTGACATACTTAAAATTGTACATCAATAATTTCAAATTTGGCCTTTTATAAAACTTTTTGTCTGTACCAGTTTTTTTATTTGATTGCATATTGTTATACTTTTATAATAATAATTATTATTATTACTATTATTATTGTTAATATTATTCTCATTATTGTTGCTGCATATTAATTATAAATTAAGATAGATACTTAGAACACCTGATAATAACTGATTTTTGTTGCTATTATTATATGCTTGTTTGGTTGTGTTAATCAATTCAAATGTGTCATGTAAAAAAATTGTGTGTCAAAATGCATAATATTATATTTTTAATCATTTAATTATCAAACATAAATTTTTGTAAGGAAGGATAGTAATTGTTGTTTTGTAATTTTATTTAGCAGATTCCAGTATCTCTGCCAGGCCTTAATTTAGACGGAGCGCATATACCTACCAGTGTCAGTCATTTACAGGCAGCACATGCACAAATGCAACAACAAATACAGGCACAACAACAGCAGCAGCTGCATCAGCAACAACAACAACAGCCGCAGCAGCAGCAACAACAACCTCAACAGCAACCTCAACAACAACAATCTCATCATCAAATGCAAAGTCATCAAAATGCTCAGAATAATGGACCAACTGCACATAATCAAAACGCACAGAGAGATGATAATAAAGTGAAAGATGAAGGTGGAAGTTGCACAACTGAACGTTGTAGTGATAATCAAGTCCACTGTCAAGTTCAGTGTGACCTTCAGTTACAAACATCTCAAGATATACAACAAAGCCTTATGCAACAACAACAGCAGCAGCAAATTGGGGTGAATATAAGTGGAAATTCTTCTACTGAAGGTGGTAACAATACTGAAAAGCCAGAGAAAGAAAAGGAGCTGCGTCAACTAAACATGACGCAGTACGTTTAGTTATTTATTAAATTGAATAATGTTTCATGATATGACATATGATATTACAATTTATGTATAGATTCCAAGTACCAGATTTAAAACCAGGAGGTCATATGATGGATGTAAGAACAGCAGATGGTTCTGTTGTAAAAATTAGTGCTGGAAATGAACAAGATTTAGCAAAAACTCTTGGTGTTGAAATGGTGCAAAATATGTATAAGGTAAAATATATTACAATGTTTTATACAGCATAAACATTTACAATTCATAATTGTAAAATTTACTCTCTATTCTTTAGGTTAATGTTGAAGATATTAATCAGCTTCTAGCATATCACGAAGTATTTGGAAAATTACAGAGTGAAATAGCAGCTGGTACCACCTTAGTTGGAAGTACAGTTCCTACACAAACAGTTACCACTATACAGAATGGAACACCAATTGTGCAACAAGTTCAATTAAATAAGTTTGATATCAAATCAAGTGACGGCGAAGCTACTCCAGGACCAAGTGCATCACCTGTGTCGGTTGGGAGTCATGCCTGTGAAATATGTGGAAAGATTTTTCAGTTCCGTTATCAACTTATCGTACATCGTCGTTATCATACGGAAAGAAAACCTTTCACTTGCCAGGTGCATAATTTATTATAACACATTTATTTATTGTTCATTGTTCGATTTTATTTTTATCCATTGTACTTACATATTATTAAATTCTACAGGTGTGTGGCAAAGCATTTTTAAACGCGAATGATTTGACTCGTCACGGTAAATGCCACTTAGGTGGATCTATGTTCACTTGTACAGTATGTTTTCACGTGTTTGCAAATGCGCCATCGTTGGAACGTCATATGAAACGTCACGCAACTGATAAACCATATAATTGTACTGTATGTGGAAAAAGCTTTGCAAGAAAAGAACATTTGGATAATCACACACGTTGTCACACTGGAGAAACACCTTACAGGTAAGTGTATAGAGCTTTTTCATTTCTATTTACTGGTAGTTAAGTTGACACATTCTTTGCCAAGCTGCTTTTGATTTAAATATTATTCCCACACCACATGACTATGTACCAAAATCTGTACTGAAAATGTGGTTATATCAAGCTTACTTGCGATAGTATTTAAAAGAATTTCTTATTTTATATTTCAGATGCCAATACTGTTCAAAAACATTTACTAGAAAAGAGCATATGGTAAATCACGTTCGTAAACATACGGGCGAAACTCCACATCGATGTGATATTTGCAAAAAGAGCTTTACTCGCAAGGAACACTTCATGAATCATGTCATGTGGCATACGGGAGAAACTCCCCATCATTGCCAAGCCTGTGGCAAGAAGTACACACGTAAAGAACATCTTGCAAACCATATGCGCTCACACACCAATGATACACCGTTTCGTTGTGAAATATGCGGTAAGCAAACCACTTTATAATTATTATTTATTAGTCTGAGATTCTTGAGAATGTCAAACAGTATCAAGAAATAATATTAATATGAATAATTATATGAACATAAATAATACGAAGTTAACATTATATTGATTATATGAACATTTTAACTTTTTGTGATGTAAAGGAGTACAGACAAATTATGCATTGCGTTTGGTACGATACCTAGACGAAATTTTGAGAATAAGAAGTAGAAATGAATATAAATATAATTGTGATTATTTGGGTTTTGGAGGGGTTTGGAGCTTCTCTAACATTAATACTTTCTTATGCTTTAAAATTTGCTCATTAGAAAATTTTTTGGGGTCTCACAATTAGTGTAGAAAACAAAGGCCACTTGGTACTGGCTAATAACAACAATGCACATTAGTAGAAAGATAGTTTTTATGCCTTTTATCATTTAATTCATTAAGTGATTTCGGCAGAGCACTTAGCTCTGTCGACTAATGACACACGTCCTCTTTCACGATGGCGACTCGGTATTTGTTCACAGATTAATGTGAACAATATTGTGTGAGCAATGCGTGCGACCGAGAAGCATTTCCAAAGAAAATTTGCTTGTGGGTTACTGTTCTTGTGCAGCATAAATTGTATTTGTAACGTTTTCAATGTAATCTGCATTTGTGACTTTGATTTTATTTGTTGTTTACGAATACAGGTAAGTCGTTCACGAGAAAGGAGCATTTTACGAACCACATAATGTGGCACACGGGTGAGACGCCGCACCGCTGCGATTTCTGCTCGAAGACGTTTACTCGAAAGGAGCATCTCCTGAACCACGTCCGCCAGCACACGGGTGAGTCTCCACACCGATGCGGCTTCTGCTCCAAATCGTTCACCAGAAAGGAACACCTTGTTAACCACATCCGCCAACACACAGGTGAGAGCGGTTGGCAGATGTCCACTTCACGGACAACCGATTCTAATATTTGTCTCTAAAAGTAGTTATACATGCCTAGTGAAATTATTTAGTTAAGAAACGCCTTAGGGACTCATCTTTTATAATATCATTCATATCGATACACACCAAACCATTCGTTTACGTCCAACAATCAATCACTCTCGCGATAAATCAGTTCGTAAGATTGTCATTTATCAGCATTATGCTTCACGACGGTAATTCCACTTTCGCTTCTAACCGATCTTTACCTCAAACTTGCATACTTGCATGCGAAATGTATTATGCGTATACATATGTATAAATGCACATATGTCTATAGTATAGTATGTATATGTATATGTGTATAGTGTGCCAGATTTAAAGTAGAACATTAAAAATACAAAAAGCGTTTGTTGAGCTCTTGTTTAACTTTGCAATAATTTTGAAATGTTCAGTAAAGGTCAGGTTAATACTTCTAAGCAGAAACATGCATTTTTTATGATATACTCTTCGAGATATTTTCAAAATTGTGCATATTTGAATCTTGTACAATCCACTATCTTTTAAATTTTAGATGTAATCTGCATTGTTGTACAGCGTAAGTGTAGAGAATGAGGTGATTCTAAGAACTTGATAACTCATTAAGATGAGCACAATACTCTTACTGTAAATCAAGTGACGCTACCATCGGTGGTACCCAAACTTTAGCAGATTATATCTCGACAACAGATTGTACAAAAGATACAAGTGTGTGGCTTTATGTAACAGAATATGAAGTAAGGATGCCGATCTTTGAAAGATCGATCTTCTATGAGCCCCCCTACTATGAAAACGTCTCAATATAATTCATAAAAGTATTTAATAAAAATGCAGCTTTCCGTTTAACAATTTTGAATAAAATAAATGAAATGAAGTTGCTTCTTGGCATTGCACAAATTTCATCTGAAACATTTGTTCGTATCATCCATATTTTTGAAAATATTTGAGCATTCGGCTTGAAACCAGGCATACTATATATTGATGTATACATATGTATATATATATGCGTATGCAGGCCAGGCAATATAAACTGTTGCAAGTTATGTTTTTTTCGAAAATTTTGTGAAATGGGGGCAAAATTTTCTTGAATGTCACATGCAACATAATCTCTATTCATGTTGCATATATTGTAGTAAGGTGAGTACATTGTATGGAAAATTTCAGTGTTATTGTTAAAGCAGATGATACTTTAATCAATTTCTCATATTTTCCACGTGAAAATAGAGATTACATTACATATATTATTATATATATATATAGGTATATTCTACATATATTATTTATTGTATAGAGTTAGTTATCTAATGTTGATATACAATTTCTGACAATAATATTATAATAAATATTTGTTGAATACCGATTGATACCACAGGAAAATCAGTTCAGCTGAGTCCGATTTAAACAAAAGGTAGCTTAATTTTATTCAGTTTGACCAGTTCAATACTATCTTTGACCGTACCTAAACTGTTTGATATATGCAGATTACTACTATGTGTAAATGACGATATAAGCAAAAGTCTAACATTTTTACGCGTAACAAAGTTACAAATGTGACATTAAATTAAATTAAGTTTTCTTAAAAAACGAAATTAGTTAAAAAAATTACATTTAATATTTTTGACTTCTTTTTTATGTAGAATTATAACCTTCTAATTAATACCCCCGACTATGAAATTGAAAACCTTGTCATCATTTACGACAATTTTCGAAAAAATAACTTGCAGTATTGTATGTGGTCCACTCTGTGTGTATATTCAAGGTGTTTCAAGGTAAGTGCTGTTCATTAAAAATCATCTTTGTTACACTATCGATATCATAAAGAGCAGAATCATAGCTTTTTATCATATTGGAAATATATGCAATGAATTAATACTTATTAACATAATACAATGTATAAGGCGAAGGGTATTATAACAAGAAATAAAACAATTTATAGTATAGAAGATATAAGATATAAAACAATTGTTTTGCGATGTAGTTCCATCTTGACAGCGCCTTTTTGGTGCTCACCAACAATACGTTAGCATTGTAATTCCTTTTTAACATGATATGGTAGTCAGATCTGTCATTGAATTGATTCTAACGTATAATGCACCGTTCAATAGTTTATTAAGAAAAAAGTCTTTCTCCCAACTTCCTCTTGACCCTAACTGTAAATATACTGTTAAATTAAGAATCTATACCACTGTTAAGCGAGTTAGTCTGAAATAATTACGAAAGCATCATTAAGGTAGACTTAGACTTGATGTACGATATTTCAAGAGTTTGTATAATATTTAAATTTAAGAGTTTATGTACCATGAAAGATGGATGGGGATACTCGCAAAATTTTTATGTACGGAAATCTTATGAAACTAGAATTGATGATTCTCTTACTGAATTCTGCTTTGTGCTGGCTGCAACTAAATCCTTTCTATGAACAATAGGACCGGTATACGTAATTTTTCATGATCCGAAAAGAAATTAGAAAAAGAAATTGAAATGCACAAAGTGAATATTTTCCGTACGTTATAAAGGCGAACTACCATATATAATTATATCGCATTTTGAAGGCGCTACATTATCATACTTTATCACAACGATTTCAATCATGTTTTATATGTATGTACCTGTATTCCTAGTATCTATACAACACGGACACTTATGTTCGTAATGCATTACGAATATTTACATTACTATTTATGAAACTTTTAATAATGGGTTTATGAAGGTTTTCTACATTTGGATAATTTTTCATCAAATTTTTAGCGATGGACATTATCAAGTCAAAGAAATGAACTATTGCAACTAAAATTTACGATTTTTGTAATATAATAATGAAAACTCATAACGTAATGAAGAGTGAAGAAAACTTTTGTAAGGCATCAGCAATTTACAGGAAAAAAACTTTGATCGATTCAGTTTGGAAAACACAGTTGTTACCAAACAAATTCATATTTATCACATCATGTTTAATATCAGTGCTTTCAATTCGTATCCTTCTCAAATGATATAGAAGAAATTATACAATTTTACTTAAATAGTACTGCATATATTTAATTAAAATAATATTACAAACTAAAACTTTTAGTAAGCATTGTTGACAAAACTGATTTTTAATGCAATGTGATTTATTAGAACAATAATATCGAAAATTTATGTTCTGATATATTTGGTATACAGGATGAGTAACTTAATATTTTCATTTGAAACTTTGCCATCTTTTCATTGTTACGGAAAACTTCTAAGTGGGTATGTTTCAGTGGGTCGATTATCCTGTTAAAGATCTTTATTTCATGATCATCTTTTTCGATATCTCAAAATAATCGATGTTTTTCTTTTTAAATGAGATGGTATATTATGATTAAAGTAACGTTATAACTATTATAGTAGGTTTTCCTTTGTGTAAACACGGAAATTGTTTTTTCGATTACAATGTTACACTAATCAAAATAGATCATCCCATTAAAAAAAAAAACGACGATGTATTTGAAATATCGCAAAATATGACTTTAAAAAGAAATCTTTATCATGATAGATGCTCCACTGTAGCAAAAATTTGTCTTTATGTATTTTCTCGTATCATTGAAAACAATGAAAATTGTTATGATGAAAGTGTTAGCTGGTTTACCCTGTATATTCGATCGAAACATTTCATTCAAGTGAAATAAGAATTCTAGAGTGTAAGTGTTTACTGGTACAACGAGGAGAAATTATAATAATGGTTGTGAAATGTACAGGGGAGACGCCCTTCCGCTGTCAGTACTGTCCAAAAGCATTTACGCGAAAGGATCACCTGGTGAACCACGTCAGGCAGCACACGGGTGAGTCACCGCACAAGTGCCAGTATTGCACCAAATCCTTCACGAGGAAGGAACATTTGACAAATCACGTGCGTCAACATACAGGCGAATCGCCACACCGATGCCACTTCTGCTCCAAGTCATTTACTCGTAAGGAGCATTTAACGAATCATGTCCGTATTCACACTGGCGAATCACCGCATAGGTGTGAATTCTGTCAGAGGACATTCACTAGGAAAGAACACCTTAACAATCATCTCCGTCAACATACCGGAGATTCCTCACATTGTTGTAATGTGTGTTCGAAACCATTCACAAGAAAGGTAAGATTTTTGAAAATTGTATGTTCTATTTTAGCATTTGGTTGCTGGGTTGTAAATAATAAGTTTTCAAACCTGTCCGTATTTGCTTTCCTATAACTGACTTACGTTCCTATACAATGGACCACAAGAATTTTTCCCGTAGTATTAAAATGTCATACATATACTTAAGAATGACAGTTTGCAATTTATTTATGCTCCATTAATAAGACTATAAGTAAATCTTCTAGTCCAAAACAAATCAAATATTCTTATCATATTAGTTATTTTAAATTCGATATAATAATATCATAATCAGTCGTGGTCGCAATTTAATTTTATCTGTAAAGACCACTTGATACATCCAATCAGAGTATTTTACAGCGAGGACGGACAAATTATATAGTCACCCACCATGACATCTTATTTAGAATGTATTAAACTATAAAATGAAAAATAGAAGTTGAGAGAAAAATGATAACTGCGCTAGAAAATAATAAAAGAAAAATATCGAATTTCTCAGATAGAACTTAGGACATTAGAATTCATTAGAATTCTATTCTATTGTTACAGGAACACCTTGTGAATCATATGCGATGTCATACTGGCGAACGTCCATTTGTATGTACTGAATGTGGCAAGAGTTTCCCGCTAAAGGGTAATCTGTTGTTTCACATGCGTTCGCATAATAAAGGAAGTAATGCTGAAAGACCGTTTCGTTGCGACCTGTGTCCTAAAGACTTCATGTGCAAGGGACATTTGGTGTCACACAGACGATCCCACTCGGACGAACGACCGCACAGTTGTCCAGATTGTGGAAAAACTTTCGTGGAGAAGGGCAATATGTTGAGACATTTAAGAAAACATGCAGCAGAAGGACCACCGACGCAAGTCAGTACACCGTCAGCCATTCCTCAATCTGGTGTTTTGCCAATCCCGACAGCAGCAGTTTTGGTTGGCCATCCGCTGGCACCGCCGGCACCACCTGTAGTGCCGCAACACACGGTCGTTGTACCCACTCCACCTGGTGTATTAACCTCTTACTAAACCAAATCAAGGAAAACGATGTGAAAGCATTTGATTAAAGGAAAGTGATTGATGAGAGTAGTATATATGATGAACGTTTGTATTGTTGATTAGAAAAGTGAGTCATTGCGTTTTTTTTGTAAAAGGAAAAACTAACAGATTCTGTGACCATGAAAGTTGATCAGAGTGTTGTTATGCATCGCACTAGTATTTTTGTGAATGTTGTAAGAACAGACATTTTATTGGGTTGAAATGTTTGCCGCAATATTTGACAGCAGCTTCGAGCAAGGAAGTTTATATGTGAATGCAAATTGAAGAATAACTGCTACTACAAAGGTAGCGTATTATCCAAAGTTTCAATTACTTCGTTTTTTTCTTTTTCCCTTTTTCTTTTAATAATACTTTTAGTAGCTCATTTACAAAAGGAAGAATATTCATAGCTTTCACAATTCACCTTATCACGTAAACTCAGGAATACGCGTTTCTACAATGAGCACACATCAATTTGTAGTTAATATGATTGCAATTAGGCACTAATCATCGTAACAATATGCCACTGTTTTACTTTTGTAATGTAGTTTCTTATAAATAATTAATGAGTCTGCTAATAACAAGGAAACTAAATTTAGACAAAATTATAATTCACATGCGGTACTAAAAATGGAATACAGGTTTTTCCTACAGTACAAAATGTATTTTTCAACAACAACGTACTTTATTTTCTTCCACGTTTGTTACTCAATATCAATTAACACGCGAAAAACTATAAATTTATTATTTACTTTCTTCATCGTTTAATCCTACTAATTTTTGTGTTAAAATTACATTTTATGCTACGACTTGCATGAAATTAGACGATCTCATTAGGTTTGGAGTGGTATTGTACGATTGGATCACGTTTACTTAAAAGTTAAGTGAACACAACAAACACATTTCGAAACATTTTTAAAAGATATTTTACCAGTTTACTTGTTCGGTATGCTGAGTTTCAATATAAACAAACAAATTTTATATATAGCGTACATTAAATAAATGTATGCTCCATTATTTACTCAAAAAAATCTATGCAAACGTAATTAAAAAAGCTTTTATATATCTAATAATACATAATTTTCAGATTTCTTAGATATATATACTTTAATTTAATTGATTGGCGCGTAGTTTAAAAAGAAAAATGTTTATTTTAGCTCTAACCATTGTTTTCCATGTAGACTTAATTGCTGTAATTGAGTGCAATATAAACTATGCCGATTTTGCTTAAGAGATATCTGCGACAAATACCACAATTATTCTGTATCTTGGACACGAAAAAAAATGAGGTCGAGCGATAGCAGTTCTGTGTGTTTACCCCTGTGCTTGAATCAGAAAGATGTTATATTGATGAATTAAGATTTTTTAAAAATTAATTTTAAATAATTTACGATACTTGTCTATTCGAGGAGTAAAATGTTACAACTCTAGCGATCTTGTAAGGCTATGTATTTCGTATTTACACTTAAGATACAATGAAATTTGTAAGCTTGGTTCTGCGGCACATAGTTGTGTCGTGCAAAGTTACCTAAATGTATCACGTATTTAAAAGAGCACTCGATATTGATAAATACGGTCAATTCCTACAAAAAGTTTGCAATTACATCTAACCAGTTTCCGCATCACCAGGCTTACATTAATTGTGATTAATATTAACAATGATTATTGAATAAACATGCGGAAGATCATAAAATTTATTAATGCGGGTGCATACGCCGTATGGAGTTTGTGTACGATAATGTTCGTAACTCCATAGGAGTCTAGATTAATATATTATAACAAATATTACTAAGTATATTTAAACAATTAGGTATCACGTACTATTTAAAGTAACGAGGGGAAAAATTAACTATACTGCAGGGTCACTGCACGAGTGACGTAAATGTATGTTACATACGAAATGTAAGATTTTCACTATATTCATAAGAGAAAAACGCATTAAGTTTGTGCAAAGATACCATCTATAAAGGAAGAACAAATATATATGTATAATATATATACTGCTCAGGCTTATATACATTATGTATATATACTGTAAACGAATACAAAGATAAAATTGATGCCGCACCGAACACACTTGGAGCAAGTAATATTTCCAATGGTATGTGTAAAGAATTCCTCCACAATTTAATCGTGGCATCGCTCCTTGCAATTTGCTATAAAATTTAAGAAGGAATACATAGGAATAATGTTTATATGAATTATTAATAATAGACGTTATAAAAATAAAATTAAGAGTTGGTTCATGCTTTTAAGAGACTTAGTTTTCTGCTTGTTTTGGAAGACAGCAAGCAAATATCAGATCCAACTATTCTCTTTGAATTGAAGCGATTTTGTGCTATATAGCGTATATATTTTTTGAATGGCACAGTCAGTACCCAGTTACTTTTATGTGAACAATTGTACCCTTCATTTTATGCAAATTACGTGTAGTAATCGCATGTTTCTGGTGTTATAGAAATGTAAAGCAAACGCTTCGATTCAAAGCGAAATATGGTGGTGAAGGAAAGAATTCAGAATATGATTTACTTTAGATAGAACAAAATATGTATAGAATTTTATTATGCACCATTGTAATATTATGTATCCCAGTTGTGACACAATATACACTGGTGTTATGTTAAATGTGAACACTATGCGTCTTGTCTTATATGTAATAATTTCCCATGTTTTAGTTATATCTTACAAATAAAACTATACAGTTTTTAGTATAAAGAGTAATTCTGTAGAAATACATATCTGCGAATGTTAATTTTTTTTTTAAGCTACAAACACACTATTTAAATAATACAATTATTTCAATATTATTAGGACATTTTTAGAACTTACACTGTTATTAGTGTTAAGTGAACTGAATAAATACTTATATAGTGTAACGAGAACTAATGTAGTACTACGACTTTGAAACACGTAAGTTTATGTAACAGAACCGAAATCGAAAGACGGTTTTGCAGCTCTCTCTCTCTCTTCGAGCTTGTTAAAATTCTTGATCATTTGAGAAATGATTTGCCGAGAGGAGAGGTCTCAACCAAATTTACTCCAGAGTGCACGGGTCATGCTGAACTCCTTCAAATTGACTAAGATTTATATTACAGATTAAAAAACAGTCTACTAATTTCCTTGCGGGCAAGCCAGTTCCAAAAGCTTATCAGTTTTGCTATCCGGGCCTAATTATCCCAACCATCTCATCTTCTTTAATTGCCTAGCCAAGAGGCGATACTGCTAAGTAGAAATAGATCGCAGCTCAGAAATCTTCAGTCTGAGACAGCCCTGCTTAACGACTCCCAAAGGTCTCGATTACACATTCCTTACCTTCTTAGGCTGCGTCAAAACAATAATTATTAAATTGACGGCAAGCTAACCGTTCTGAAAAACAGTTCGCTAACTTGGGGGTTTATTCCTTTCTTACTTCTAAGCCTCCGTGAATGATATAAATTCCGTCTTAGCTTCCAAAGAGTAGTATCTTGGTGAACTTTGCGCACCAAATTCCGCGCGAGAACGAAGTACATAAAAGAAATGACATATTTTAGTCTTCGGTATGATATTTGTGCTGGACAACCTTGCGAAAATCTTCATTCTGGACATAATAATATTTTTAAAGTTGTGTAAAATAATATCCATTTGGATTCCATTCAATCCTGGATGGACGCAGCAGCCTCCATGGATCCCTGGTGGTACACGAGCTTATAGTCAGTGGTTTGTAGGTAAAACAAAATTTTATTAATTTAATTTTATTATAAAATACATAGTAAGAATATCGTGCAATGTCAATCAATCTTTTATTACAGTCATCTCCTAGCACTTCACAGTCATGTGAACGCAGCAATATAAATAATCAAATATGAGAAGAGTCGAGATTACAAATGAACAAATTGTTTCAAGTCTAAAATTGACGCGCGTATAAGGATCTACATAAAGATCCTAGTCCGGATCGACGAGAAATCATCGAAAGGGATATTTCCTTCGAATTTCTTAAAAAGTAGAGACGTTGATTAGCTTGGCGAGTAGAATAAAAACGATTTTTGAAACGAAGCTGTGCGTTGGCGACTCGTAGCAATTGCTATTAACGACCGAGATCTCTGGATCACAAAATGTTGATTCTTACACAGTGACGAATGTATACTTATGAACATGACATTAGTTAAACTTTCAGTATTTTCATTTTAAAAACTGTATAATATTCAATAATTTTCATCAAGTGCTTCAAATAACGTTCTGTTTACACGATACTTCTGATTTTGCAAAATTATTTAAATTCTAAACAGAGTTTAGATTTTACAAAATCCCAAAAACATTTGTTAATGGCAAAATAATGCTTAACTCATTAATAATTAAAGGTGTATTTCTTTGTTCATTAACCCGACGTCGGTGTGGTGGGGCATGACGACATGATTTTATATATTTCACCAATTTTTCAATTTTAAATTATCAGCTCGTTTTAAATAAAATGACAGTGATAATAATAATGATAATAACGTATAACGCATATACTTGTATTTTTTATAACATTATTGACAAATGTATTATTTGAATTAAAAATTTCCTTATTAAAATTATTTGTTTCAACATCTTCTTAATGAAATTGATTGGGGTATGTAATACCTCACCACACACTTTTCACGTCACATTTTTATACTACACTGACGCTGGATTAAGCATACGTTTTTGTAAATTATAATTAAAGATTTTTCGAACTATTCATGAAACCAAATTCGTTTAAACGATGTACACGTTCCATAGTTCTAAAAAAACTAAAAGATCTACGAAATATTAGTTTCATGTNCTGTTATTTGAAAATATACGGACCGTTAAAGATAATAATGATAACGTGAACTTTTTGAATAAATTACGATACTTAATCTAATGGATTATTTAACCCGCTGTCGCAGTGGAAGGGTTGAAGGAGAGCAATTTCATTTCCACCACCTGCTTCAAACATAATAATAATAGTAATAACAATGCGTAAAACTCATATCCTTGTATTTTTTATAACATTATTGACAAATGTATTATTTGAATTAAAAATTTCCTTATTAAAATTATTTGTTTCAACATCTTCTTAATGAAATTGATTGGGGTATGTAATACCTCACCACACACTTTTCACGTCACATTTTTATACTACACTGACGCTGGATTAAGCATACGTTTTTGTAAATTATAATTAAAGATTTTTCGAACTATTCATGAAACCAAATTCGTTTAAACGATGTACACGTTCCATAGTTCTAAAAAAACTAAAAGATCTACGAAATATTAGTTTCATGTGTTATGTAAAACAAAGTAATTAAATATATTTCTCTATTCTTGCACATTGCGTTCGTAACTGGAAATTAGAACAAGGAATATTATAATTTTTAATGTTATATTTGCCATCAACATTCAATTAATGATATGATGATTACACATAGAACATTGATTGTATTATTTATGAGTACAATAGAAACAAATTATCTATTTTCATCATAACGTAAAATACAACAAAAATCTTGAAAATGTCTGTGTTCATAAGTATATGTTTATCACTGTATCTCGTTTGTAGTTTTGGCATACGGTACTAAACAAGTTGCCGTCATACCATAAGGAATACAAACTATTATGTTTCATGGTCAATAAATTTTAAAAGTAGCATGTGAAAATTAAATTTCTTTTTTTGTATCTATATATATATGTATATATATATATATATATATGTCTTATGTTTTACAGAATATACATTCCTTCTCTATATGAATAATAAAGGTTTCATATCTTTTATACATACGTATCACAATATATCTTTTTCATGTTGATAAAAAGACATACAAAATAAAAAAAAGTTATAATTAGTAAGGTCATTTTCTTCTTTTTTTTTTACTAGTACATAATAAGTAACCAATTCGG